TTCCAGGACCTCAAGAGGGGCAGTTACAACGTCTGCTTCTTCGTTCGCTTTTTCCGGCGGCCCCGGCCGGCCCGGGAGCCCGACGCCACGCCCAACGGCGACCGCTGGGTCGTACGCGTGCCTTTGGCGCCGTGCTTGGCCATTGAACCTTGGGAGAAGGTCGCGACCGAAGTCGCTACGATGCAGTCGGTGCCGGTCTCGCGCTCTTTTCCCGGATTTTTTTTGTGCTTTTGCTTTTGCTAACTCGAACCGATTTCGACCGCCAGGTTCGTTGCAAGCCACACTACGATACCCGTGCCCAAGGTCCATGCATACAGCACCTCCAGGGAGCCGGGCGCGCACGGAGTCGCCTCCTATATGATCCTAGAATACGTTCAAGGCAAAACGTTGGACGAGCTCGGGGTAGACTTTAAAAAGGGGACGCCCGAACACCTGCGCGGCAGCATCAACGCCCAGCTGGCCGACGTATATATCCAGCTAAGCCGCTTAGAATTCCCCGCCATCGGCCGGCTGGCTCCCTTGCCTGACGGCTCGGTCCGCGTCGGCAGAGCGCCCTTTTCGAACGCCATGAACCAGCACCAGCTCGAAGTCGGGGGAATGCCCGACATGATAAAAAAGTGGGGCGGTGCCCCGGCGGGCTTCACGTCTGCAAGCCGCTACGTCTCTTTCCTGCTCGACAGCGCCTGGGAGCTGTTTGAGAGGAGCAGGGCCAACTGCGAGAACGAGGCCGACGCACGCCGCAGGCTTTATTTCCTCCATCAGTTCTCCGGTCTCGTCAGGACAAGCTGGATCCGAAGCGACCTCGACAGCGGCCCTTTCGTGCTTGCACACGGCGATCTGCAAAGGTGGAACATGCTGTTCAGCGACGATTTCAAGCTCCTGGCCGTTATCGACTGGGAATGGGCCCAGACGGTGCCCCTCCAGCTTTTCTTGCCGCCCTTGTTCCTCTCGGGCTCGTCCGTCTGGTCCCTTGGCTATCTTTACGAGCGGTACGCCAACCGGCTGCGCGGGTTTTGCTCCGTGGTTGAAGAGGCGGAAAAGGCCAAGTACGG